AAAAAAAAAAAAAAAAAAAAAAGACCAGCAAAAATCAGCACTCCAATGTTTTTTAAATCTTAGGTGTGTCATTTAAGATACACATAATGGTAACATCATCATAGGGAATTTGTACCTGTACCTATATACATCACAGTTCTTTTTTCCCCTATCTGTTCCCCTTACTTCAACCAATATTGTTATTAAAAACAAATCAGTTTGGATGAGAAATTAGAAACTGTTTTGTGAATTTACAAATTTACCTTGAAAAGGTCAGCAATGAATACTTTCATGTAGTGCCATGTAAATATCAAATATGGAAACAATTTTTAGTTCAGGATTAATAAAAACGTGACTTGCCTTTGTTTTTTAAAGACACCGTATAAACTTGAGCTCAGACTTCTTGATAACTCCTGATTTCTACTGGGACCGAGAAAACCTGGAAGAACTTTATGATAAAACTTGTCAGTTCCTCAGCATTACACGAAGAGTTAAGGTATGCATTTTGCACTTCTGTTAAGGAGAAAAAGAAGATGGGTTGCTTATGATTTGTGTGACTATGTGAAATTTTAGGTTAAGCGCATGTGCTTAACAGTGATCAGAAAAGTCTCATGTTGGACTTCTGTTCAGATCTCTCAGTGTCACCTTCTCTCATTCTCCATATACTGTTTCACAGACTGGTGAAGATTTGTGAGAACTGAGGTCTAATAGCTCATCAGGAAGTTCGTGTCAAGTTTCAGGCATGAGTTCATGGGGTCCTGACTCATGCGATGACTGTGAAAACAAAATGAACTGGAGAAGAAATCCTGTAACATGAAATGACTGATAAACGGAGGCCAGGGAGAGGACAAAGCAGGACTGTGTGTGTCTGCAGGGGACAAGTAGAAAGGTGACAAAAGGACTAATTTTAGGAAGGCTTAGGTGAGACAAGCAACAAGATACCCAGCTGGGGCTCAGCAGTAGCTCTTGCTGGCCTGGGGGAGGCCCTAGGCTCAATGCCCAGTATCATCCCTTGTCCCCTAAAAGAGATACTGACAGGCATGTAGAGTTGTGGAAGCAAAGCCCAGGAGAGACTCCTGGATCCAATCTGCCTTCATAAAGACCTAAAGAAAAAAAATAAATGAAGTAAGTAAAAAAACAAAAAAGGCTGGGGAGATAGCTCAGTGGAATAAGCACTTGTTTGACAAGCGAAAGGACCTGAGTTCAATCCCTGATTCCACAAAAGAAAGAAAAGAAAGAAAGAAAGAAAGAAAGAAAGAAAGAAAGAAAGAAAGACAGACAGACAGACAGACACAGACAGACACAGACAGAAAGACAGACCTAAATAAAGACCTCCCTTAATAGTTCTAATACTTCAATAGCGCCCCCCTGGGGACCAAGCCTTTAACACACAAGCTTTTAAGGGACACTCAGCCTCCCTGGTGTAACAGGGCCAAAAAAAAGAATAAACTGGCCCTGTAGTGCTTTAAGAAAACAGTGAATGTAGTGGTCACTGAGCTAGGGGAAGGCAGGGATCAGTTTTTGTTTTTTCCTCAGGTGAGAAAGATGGGGTAAGTTTAAGACAGGCTAAAAAGCAAAAAGGCTGAGAATAGAGGTCAGGTCCTTTTGTAAAAGGATTCAGAGAGCAGTTACAAAGGTATCATGGGACAGAAACCAGTTAACAGCAGTGCTGACCTGTTTTTTCAAGTTAGTGGACCTTGAGTTCGGTCATGAACCTTCTTTTCAACTACCTTTCATTTCCCCTTCGTGCTCCCTGTTCATTGGCAACGAACTGCTGGCAAAGAATTCAGGGCAAAGCCTGTGTGACAGATGCAAGGGAAGGGTATCATACTGAACCCTGTACCTCATCTCAAAGTTAATATACACAGCCCCTCTGCCACTTGGCCTCCTCCCTCACCTGGACTGCTCTACTTCCTTGTTTGTCCTCCAGCCTCTGAAGTAGACCTTTGCTGAGCCCACTATACCCTCTGGCTGGAAGGCAAGCAGCAGGGTCTGTCTTGCCACTGTCTTCCCAGCGCAGCAGTGTGCTGTGCTAAATATTTCATGGTCACACAAACACCTCCTCTTTACTTGCAGAATAAGACTCCTTATTGTAGCCTAGTGTTTAGTTTTCTATTGTTGCTGTAACAAATTACCACAAGCCTGGAGGCTTAGCACAGATTTATCACCCTAACAGTTTTGTTGGCCAGAAGCCTGGCATAGGTGTCACTAAGATCCAAGTGTTGGCAGAGCTGTGTTCATGGAAGGTACAAGCAGGACCCATTTGCTGACCTTTTCCAGCTCTTCTGTCTGCTGTTTGTAGCCCCTTCCTCTGTCTAACAAAGGCAGGTGAGTGGTCCTCAGCTCTTCAACCTCCATTTCCACTTTTAAGGGCCCTATAATTATGTCAGCCTTACCCAGATAACTAGTAGCTCACTTCTCAAAGTCAGCTATTAGCAGCCTTTGTTTCATAATGTTTTCCTTTGCCATGTTCATAGGTTCTAGGAATGCCTGTGGGGTGGGAAGCTCTATTGTAACTACAGTATTTGTGGTCAATCACTGTGATCAAAGTACACAGTGAATGTTTAAAAATCACAGAGACATCACTAGTTCTAGTCCAAATTCCCCCTTGCTTTGAACACACCTGTCCTATTGTATTTGCCACTTTCTGAAGCAGTTGTAGAAATCCTCTTTTGTGTCTTCTTTATGAGTTGTGATCAGGCATATAGTAATGCTGCTACCAAGTGCCACCCAACAGAAAGGCAGGCGTTTCCAATTGTTATGGTGCATCTTCATCAACCTTAACCACATTTGGCACTGTGCATTTCTCCTCTCAAAAGGTAAATGTTTTGACTGGATTCTGGACATGAAAGCAGACACAGCATAGCTCAGACAGAAAAGAGGACTTCCACAGCTGCCTCACAAAAGGAGGCAAGGATGATGTTGTGCATATGTTCAAAGTCAGGGGTAATATTTTGAGGGGGGTAAACAGCACTGACTCTTTTACCTTGGTAAGTTTTAAAACTTATACCTTTACCATATATTGATCACATCTCATCCACTGCCTTTCATAATTATCTACTAACCTCATTCCAACTGTCTACCACCTTAGCTATGCTTGTCTCTGTGCTCCTTCCCTTTACTTTAAATCCTCTTCTCCTGCCCCCTCAACCTCTGCACTGCTTTGCTTCTTGCGAACCACCTATTTAAACATGTTCCTACTGGCTTGGCTAGAAGCCCCTGTGCTACATGCATGACTGTCCCATCAGGCGACTTGTAAAACTGGTGGTACAAACTAGGAACTATTATTGGTTTTTATTTAACTAATACAGCAAAAATCACTGATGGGACAGTCATACATGTACCAGTGGTTCCAGCCATGCTGCAACAATGCAGATCACAGCCCCACTGGGAATGTGCTAAAGCCCAGTCCCCACCCAGCAGGCTGCTGTCGCCCAGCCCATTCTCCTGCCCCTTTTGCTTCCACAGTGTGCACAGGTCTGCAGTTAAGTCAGATATGAAGCACTCAGCAGCAGGGACTCCTGCTGCACGTGCCAGTGTGTGAGCTTTGGGAAACAGAACCATTACATGTAATGACCAGGAGACTTCTGGAGTGTCAAGAGATTTGTAACAATAGATCTAATTTCCAGTGTTAGCAAATTGGGTGATAAAATGGAGGAAGAACCAAACCTGCTGTCTATTCCTTAGTAAAACTTAAGGACCAAGTTTAACTAGAAAAGCGAACTTAATAGATGAACATGTCCTAGGGATGGTGAACCATTCAGAGCTGTGCGCCCAAACTGCAAGTCCTGCCCACTTAGTTATCACAGAGTGCCAACACTGCAAATACACTGCCTGAACACTGAGGTGTTCCAATAGTTCATGCTTAGCTCCCTTGCCAACAGAGGGCTCTGTATGCCTGCTGCAGCACACAAGCCAAAGGTCTGCCACCATTGTTCTAGACCTAGATAAAGCAGTCAACAGAAAAATTTAGGAGGAAATGGGAGAGAAAAGAACTGCTACTCTAAAATCAAACTTAGAGACTACAAGTTCAACTTCAAACGAAAGTATAAACATATATTGCAAACACGTTTTTAAAAATTGCATGTGTAATTGTATATGAACATGTAGTTACATGTACAATCAAACATTAGCCATTATTAATGTAAAATGTCAGGAAAAAGGTTTCTAAAGCCAAACCTCGAAATATAAGAAGCCAAGCCATGCTATTATGTTGAGCTGTAGGAGACTCAGGTCAACAATTTCTGACCCTGGCAGTCAAGCGGAAGACCCAATACTACTATGGGCTACTGGACTCTTTTTAGAATATTCTGCTGAGTTTACACACCTATAACATTCAAATAATGGAACTTAACAAAAAAAGGGGATACAGATGAATGTCCATTTTGTATCTGTGTGTCTTACTCTTCTCTCGTTGCTGGGACAAATACCTGACACTCAAAATGAAGGAAGGAAGGGTTTATTTAGCTCACAGTTACTGGAGGCTTCAGTCCACACTCAGCTGGGTCCAGTGCAGAGCAGCACACAACAGAGAACAACCTTTCATGGTGGTGGCAAAGAGCAAGAAAGCAAGGGAGGAGTAGCAGCAGCTCAAGCAGCTAGCTTCTCTTCCCACCTTACATTGTAATGCAAATTACCTGCCCCAGGGTAGGGGAAGTACTCACACCTATGGGTACTTCCCAGTATTTACCCACCTATGGGTAAATCCCAGCAGTACTAAAACCCATAATCCCAGCCTTGGATCACACATAATCCCAGTGGATCATGAGTTAACACAAACTCTACAAGTCCTCACCCCATGACTGCATGAGGCTTTGGGAGAACTAGACACAAACCATAACACTGTGTATTCAAAGTGGTTAGGATATATAGGTACATTCTCTTAATGAATAGAGGGATTTGTTCTAATGGTGTTTATAAATAGGATATCATGTCTGTATCTTGTACAGCAAATAACCACTAGGAAGAATGTATGCAATGTGTTAATTATTGAAACTGCCCTACCAATATGGTTTGAAACTGTCTCATTGCTATGTTTCTCAATAAAATTATGGAAAAAAATTTTAAAAATTTTAAAATAAATAAAGCCAAACCGGGGCTGGTGAGATGGCTCAGTGGTCTAAAGCACCTACTTGGAACAAGCTTGGCAAAGCACAGGGACCGCGGTTCAATCCCCCAGCACCACATGCCAGCCAGCCCGCCCCCTGGTGGGCTGAGCTGGCCACACACACACACACACACAATAAATAAATGTAAAATAAATAAATTAAAAAAAAAAAAAAGCCAAACCTAGGGGCTGGCGAGATAGCTCAGTAGAATAAGTGCTTGCCTGGCAAGTGCAAGGACTGGAGTTCAATCCCTGGTTCTGAAAAAAAAAAAGTAAAGCCAAACCTACACACATCTCTTCTTAAATCAACTTGCTTCAGTGCAGTGTCCCATATAATCTTAGGGCAAATCATCTAAAAGGTCATTTACAACTGAAGAGAAATAACTATCAAATGACCCCAAGATCTGAGGTATGAGTGTGGTGATGCACATCTGTAACCCCAGCACTCTTAAGAAGCTGAAACAGGGGGATCAAATTGAGTCCAGCCTGGGAAACTTAAGGACTTAGCAAGACCCCATCTCAAAAATAAAAGGGGCTTGAGGTGGGGCAGCTGAGCACAAAGGCCCCAGGCTGAATCCCCCGTAAGTGGGAAGTTGAGGTAGCACAGAGGTGAGCACTACCCATACAGTTCAGTGTTACCCGTTTCCCTGCTAAGGTAGTTTGATCCTCTGTGCAGAGCTGTAATGAATGCAACTGACATGCTGACATGGGGTCAGTCCTGAACATGCTTTTGCGATTAGTGCTGTCACTGCATGTTCAACATGCCCCTTAAGAAACTTTTTAAAATGTCCTTCTAGTTTTCATAGGAAAGTACACAGAGGTATCAGGCAGGCATTACTCAGTCACATCTGAGTTTTAAATTCAGAGGTTTTACTTTGCATGAACCCCCTTATCAGCAGGTGAAGCAGAATGCAGCCTGTGCAGTTGTTAAAAGTACTGCCATCTGCTGGCGAGGTTATAGCGGGTCAAGCATTAAGTAATTTTTAACAAGGTCATTTTTTTTTTTTTTTCTTCAGTCCATACTTTTAAAAAAAAACACACACACACAGTGAATCTCTTTTTTCTTACTGAAAAGGCAGCTACCAGAAACTAGGACTTTAAAATCTTATTTTTAAATTATTTACGAACATCTTAATAGATTAACTGCAAAATATTTCCTGGTTAAACCTGCATTACATGGTGGCTCTGGTAGATTCACTAGAAAGTGAACAGTGGCTGCTCCGCCACCTCCAGGACAGGACTGGGATCACTTGAAGGCCCATACAAGTTGGAAACATGTGACCACATTGCTAGTGTTCTTAGGTAAGCTGCTGAAACAGAGATCTTTCTTCCACAGGTCATGAATGAAAAACTGCAGCACTGCATGGAGCTGACAGATCTGATGCGCAATCACCTGAATGAGAAGAGAGCACTGCGGCTGGAGTGGATGATCGTGATCCTCATTACCATAGAGGTGGGCAGACACGGTGCGGCCATTCCTCTCCTGTTCACAAACAGGGCCTATGGCAATGGACAATTAGAGGTACAGAATTATAGCAGAAAAGAGGATGCTCCCGTGACTGCTGGGACATGAGGCTGTGTCAAGTAACTAACTGTATTGTACCATTCATTAAACATAAGTTCTTATAAAGGTTCCACATTTTAAAGATACCATTTGTTAGCTCTGACTGACAAAGCTGTGAATCATACAGCCCAATATCCCACAAGGGTTTGCAGCTCATTAATGACCGTCTTGGGCAGCCATTTCTGTTAACAGTAATTTCTTTGCCATGAAATTAATAGTTCTTATCATCCTAGGTAATGTTTGAGCTGGGACGAGTATTCTTCTAATCACGTGATAATCAAGTGTTACTGCGCAAGATGTTCAACTTCTACAATCAAAACTAAATGTTCAAGGGGGCCGGGGATACAGCTCAGTGGTATGATGCCTGCCTGGCAAGCACAAGACCCCAAGTCAAATTCTAGGTACCAAAGACCCAAACAGAAGAAATTTATACGGGCCAGGGAGATAGCTCAGAATAAGCAGTTGCCTCACAAGAGCAAGATCCTGAGTTCAATCCCCATTACAAAAAAAAAAAAAAAAATTATAACTAAATATTCACTACTGTGTGATCTCATTATTTAATATATATTTAACTTTTAAAGAAGTATCTATAGTGGTCTTTTTCAGCTCTTAAATATTGTTAAATAAAAATGATGAATCTGTCACTGGTAGTTCAAAAATCAAATCTTTAATATTTCAGGTAACGAACTCTGGATAACCTGTCTAGGAGACCTAGATGAAGGTTATGTTTTAACATCAAAAGGTTTAAGATTTTGAACACTGATCCTTAATTTCCCCGTGGAAAGGCAATTTTGGCTCTGCTAAAAGAACCACAGGAACTTGGGAGAGCTGGAATCAATACATGCACTATTAAGGCAGGCTACTTGATGTTAGAAATGAACTTTATATACCTATTTTAGATGACATAATGTATGACTGTTCACTGGCACTTTTACTAATCAATACTTTGTCCTTTCCCCACCAAGTCTGTCCCACTGTCTTCCCCAGAGGTGTACATATCTTCATTTCACGTATTTTGGGGAAACTAAAAAATATCAGTACATATCATTTAACTTACATACTTACAATCTTGAATTGATGCTTTTAAAAAAGCAAATCTCTTATTTTCACAATTTTTGTACATAAACCTCCTTGCTCCACCACTCCACCAAGACAAATGGAATGTCCTTTTCCATATATATTCTTCACACAGTACTGTTTCAATCTGAGTGCTGTCACGCATTCTAAGGGAACACATCTGTCTATACCTTTACTGATGGGTATATTTGCAGCAGTAGTGCTTAGGTGAATGTGTGGTATCTCTCAGCAGTGTGAGTAGATGCTTTTCTGCAAAAGGTACCTAAGAACTCCCCAAAGAGGATGGAGAGACTAGCTGAATTGCTTTTAGATCAAGTCCCATGTCATTTCCTAAAATCTACATCCCTGTGTACACAAATGCCTGCCATCAGTGGACCAAGCCAGCACTACCCAATCTTTTCTCTCACTTTACATTGTAGAGGATCTTTTACCTACCCAGAAGCTTGTTTGGTTGTATTTAGGTCTTTAAATATTTTTAAAACCTTGAGAAGCCATACCCAGAGGGCAATTTGAAAGTTCGATTAAAAGCAACTCCTCCAATCAAGGCCATTAAATTTCCCATCCATGAAGCAGTGTTACTTCTAATAAAAGCATACACCAAGAAGAAATGAATATGTATAATTTGCTGTGTAGGTGACGTAACAATTTGTTTTAGAACAGAACTAAAGACTTGCACAGGTAAGCTGTGTGCCCCACTACTCAGCTACATCCCAGCCCTTTTTGCTGAGACAGGACAATGTCTCACTAAGTTATCTGGGCTGACTTCAAATTGCTGTCCTCCCTGCCTCACCTTCCCAAGTAGCTGAAATCTCTGGCATGTGCTACCAATTTTAATAATCCAGAAAAACATGAGCATCTGATGCCTTAAGGCTACACAGCAAATTTGAAATATTTCAATTCACATACAAATATGTTGCAAAGAATGAAAGAATAATCAAAAGTAGATTTTCATAAACATTTATTGTATCAGAACAAAGTTTTGGGGGAAATGCAACGCAAGAACCATGTCAAGAAAAAGGAAAAATATGAAGTTGAAACATTTAAATAGATCATGGTGGATACCATCTCATTACATGTCACTACAGAGATTTAAAGGTTTAATAACTTGTTAGGTATCAGTATGTCAATACATTGGGAATTAACATTTCTTAAGTATTTTATTAAAATCTTGAAATTGAAACTCACAGGAAGTTTTAAAAAAATATTTACAAAACAAGCAAAAAAATCCAGCAAAATTACCAAAATATTTGTAGTCTAAGGTATGTATATTTGCTTCAAAGATCTCTCCCAAAGTGGAGTCAAATTACCGTAATACATGACAACTCAGTGGTTAAGCCCAACCTAGACTTCAGTTCTTGCTTTGACCATTAAGTAACTGGATTTCTTGGTCTTAATATTCTCATCTGTAAAGTGGGTTTAATGGAACCAAACAAGGTTGCTGTGAATTTAGTGGACTATGTGAAGTTATGAGTGTTAACTCTTACTACAATCCATCTACGTAAAATTTCACATATGAGTGTGCAATGTGGAAGCTGAACCAAACTTACCCCTTGGAATCTTTTTTTTTTTTTTTTTACAGTTTTTTTGTTTTTTTTTTTTTTGCAGAACCGGGGATTGAACTCAGATCCTTGCGTTTGCCAGTCAAGCGCTTATCCTACTGAGCCATCTCCCCAGCCCCTGTATTTATTTATTTGGTACAGGGTCTCACTATGTAGCTCAGACTCACAGTGATCCTCCTGTCACAGACTTCCCAGCACTGGGATTACAGGTGTGGTTTGAGTGGTCAGCTCTGCTCGGGGCCAGCACTGCATGAAGTACCAGGGATTGAACCCAGGTCCTTGCACTTGCCAGGCAGGTGCTTAGACCACTAAGGTATCTCCCTGCCCCCCCCCCCAATCTTTTAAGTACATGTCTAAGACTTACAAGGTACATGTCACTGAATCCTTCACCATCACGGAGTTCACTTAAATATAAAGTGATATTCCCAGTTTAAAATGAGTAGGCTCTTCAGTGCAAGCTCAAAAAGGCCTTTCTAAACTATTCATTAAAGTAGTCCCTCACTTATCATGGAGGTTACATTCCAGACAACCTCATAAGTGAAAATCAGCGAAACTGCAACATTATATTTTAGTGTACACACTCACACATATTAAAGCTTTATAAATGCTTCTACACTTATAAACCTTTCTCACACCTTTAAAAACATTTCTAGGGTGCCAGGGAGATTGCTCTGGAATAAGTGCTTGCTTGGCAAGCACAAGGTCCTGAGTTTGATCCCTGGTACCACCAAAAAAATAAAAATAAAAACATTTCTAATATTCTTAATCATTTTCTAAACTCAAACCAACATAATTTTAACATGTATACTGTACGGCACTGCAAAATCCTCTAATATAGCAAAGCAAAAAATCCGCAATAAATACTTTAGAGTAATATTTTCGGAAAACCCATGAAACAGTCTGCAAAAATCAAGCTGCAAAATAGCGAAGGACTACTGTGTACAAATATCAGGCAGCTGCCTTCTGAGGTTCCTTCCTGGATAACCACAGAAGCCAAAAGAAATGAGATTTTTATATATGTAAAAGTCAATGCAAGGCTGGGCATGGTGGTGCAGGCCTGTCATCTCAGCACTCAGGAGACAGAGGCAGAACTGTCTCAAGTATGAGGCCAGCCTGGGCTACACAGCAACACCCTGTGTCAAACAAAAAAATGCTAGCCAGGCTTGATGCCACATGCCTATAATCCCAGCAGCCTAGGAGGCCAAGACAGAAGAAATAACAAATTCTAGCCCAGCCTGAGCAACTCTTGACTTTGTAAGGTCCTGTCTCAAAAAAGGGGGTTAATGCAAAAGGGTTTAATCCTCACTACCACCCATCATAAAAAAAAATCCTAGTTTTATCATGTCTTAGCAAATCCTATTTAGCTATTATGGCAATTGACAGCGGTTTCCAACATACGGATCTACGACTAACCATCTTGGCAAACACCCATATTGTCCACATTACACACAACTTATCATATCAGAAGCTCTGGGGCTGCAGCTGAGAAAGCTTCATATGCCTACCAAAAGACTGCTTACCAACTCTGAGAGCCTCACTTAGAACTACTGGCTGCCACGTGGTTATACAGGTTTTACATGATTCCTGAGTAGCTCTTGTTTCCCACCTTCTAAAATCTCAACGGACTCAACGCTCCCTACTTCTTCAAACCCTGATCCACAAAGTATATTTGCAGGGAGACACAGATAAAGCTGAGTAGTAGTTGTCCAAATACCTCCAATCTGAATCTGTTTACTGTAAGCTCTTCACTACTTGTGAACTGCCTTTTGTAAGGAAAATTTAAGGTCAGTACTCTGAATGCCCTTTCTTCACATAAGATTAACAAAACAACTTTAAAGGACCCATTTTTACTTCCTTTACACATTATAAAACATGGAGTTCAATGGGTTTTTTGTTTGTTTTAAATCGTTTTAGCGTTTTCTGGTTTGTTACAATAAAGTAACTTGGGAAGCCTGGGCATGGTGGCCCAGCACTTGGGAGGCTGAGACAGGAGGACTACCAGGACTAAATACAGTACTGAGTTCAAGACCATCTCAGGGGCCGGGGTGATGGCCCAGTGGAATAAGCACTTCCCTGGCAAGCACAAGGGCCTAAGTTCAATCCCCGGTTCCGCCAAAAATAAAAATAATACTTCTTCCCTTTAAAAAAAAAAAAAAAAATCTCAATAAGTAAATAAACCTGAAAACTACAGAGCATTGTGAAAACTACTCAAGACAATTCATATTTTAATTTATTTCAACCAAAATAAGTTTCTGCTTTCAGGAAGCTTAGTCTAATGAAGAAAAATGGCAGACAGGTCAACAACTGATTCCCCATATAATCTGCTCATACACACAGACACTCAGTAATTGAATCTAAAGACATAATTTGAAAAGCAAGGAAAAAGGGCCAGGTAGTAAGTGGTATGTGCCTGCCCTGTAGTAGGAGAGGAACATCTGCACCCAGGAGTCTGACACCAGCCTGAGCAATATCTCAAAAAAAGTGACAAACTGTACTACTTACAACTTGAGATTTAAACATTGCTATGAATTTTAAAACTAAAAACGACAATACATTAAGTATAAAAATTTTTCACTTGGCTTCCAATTTGCTTACATTTACATTTTTTAAAAATATTGCTAATATTAAAAGATGGATTAGGGCCAGGGAGATGGCTCAGTAGAATAAGCGCTTCCCTGGCAAGTGCAAGGGTCTGAGTTCAATCCCTGGTTCCGCCAAAAAAAAGAGGAAAAAAAAAAAAAAAAAAAGATGGATTAGATGGCTTCTTGGACCTATCAATAAAGAATTAGAGATCTGCAAATTAAAGAATATCAATGATATAATTCCACTCAAATCTGAACTACTTGCCACAAAATCT